TAAGATAAAAAAAAATTATCCTTCTCTTTATAAGATATTGCTAGTTACAATATACATAAATGAAGATGCTGGAATTATTACATTGTACAGCACTCGGCTGGGTATTGGACCAAACCAATTTTTTTCTAAGAGACTGAGTCATAGGAAAAAAAGCAATTTCTCCGTCTTTCGAAGTTAGCTCCGAAATCGAGATATGGGCTTTCGAAGTTCGAAATAGAACCTTTGGTAAAAAACTATTTCTTATTATTATATGTAAATAACTAAAAAACTAAAAATACAGGCTTTTGCTCTTATTTAAATGGAATATAACTTTTTTTGAGCAAACTTATGTTACAGGTGCTATAAGGGGTCAAATGTCGAATCTTCGAAAAATCAAAAACCTTATATTTCAAAAAATTTTGAACTGATTTTTAAAAACTTGGTATCGTTGTACACCCAATTGAACTCCCTTTCTTCCGATATGCATATTTGTATACTTCGTATATAAATATTCAAGAAAAATCATTTAAAAGGAAAAAATACCTTTTTTTATAAAATAAAATATTTTAAACAAAAAATTGCTAACTCATTTTTAAAAAATTGATATCGTTGTAAACGCAATCAAACCTTATTTCTTCTGATATGCGTACCTGTATACTTCGTATATAAAAATTTGAGAAAAGACACGTAAAAGAAAAAATACCTTCTTTTTTAAATTAACAAAAAACTACTGACTGATTTTGAAAAATTTGGTATCGTTGTAAGGGCGATTAAACCCCTTACTTCTAGTATACATATTTGTATACTTCGTTATATAAAAATTTGAGAAAAAACACTTGAAACAAAAAATACCTTAAAAAAAATATTTTAAACAAAAAATTACACACCGATTTTTTCAAAATTGATATCGTTGTAAAGGATACCAGAAAACTTATACTTTCTTAAACCCAAAAATTTCTATTTTATACATACACAAAAAAATTTCTTAAAAACATTTTTTCCCTCTATATAAGCTCCTGCCCCCCTAGGCCCTTGTATACAAAATAATTAAAGCCGTATATGATACGGTCAGTTTTTTTCTTTTAGAGCGCATACCTACATGGTTCCAGTATCTTCATTTATGTATAGTACCAGGTTGACCCAGCTTTGCCCGGAGTGCATATACTTTTT